ATTGATTTTGTATCTTATGTTACGAGGAGACTTTGAGAATCAGGATCCTGGAGTCACGGTATTCCTAGAATTTATATAACATGGTGACTTTTGTTATGGAGTTATATGGGATATTTTGGTTATTTGGTCCACTGTGTTTTAGACGCTGGCTTTCAAAATTTATTCTGGTAAAATTGGTGTCCTGGATTTTTTTTTTTTTTTTTTTTTACGGGAATTAGCCCACCCGGGCACAGGTCAAACTGCCCACAACGGGGCCTGGGAGGCGGAAAAAAGAACATAAAGAAATTTAAAATAGGGAAGAAAAATGTTATTCTGTGTTAACCTACACCACGAAGATGCCGGAAAACCATCTTTTTAAAGTGAGACAAATTGTATAAGTATGGAAACACAGAAGAAGGCAGAGCATTCCACAGTTTGGCTGTGTGGGGAAAGGAGGAGGTGCTATAACGGGTTATTCTCATGTGATCGACATCCACAGATGGTAACACAGAAGTAATTTATTTTAAGCAATAATCTTTGGCATATACTGTAACATGGTTTCAAATTGTAACACTGCCTATTATAATTAGAACAGCCTGATTTGGCAACATTGATTAAGATTATACACTCTCCAGGGTGATAACACTGTACGAGACAGAGTAATAAACATAACTGGGGTGGCTAATACAATATCAGATGGCAACTTAGATGTGCGCTCTGGGACGACAACACTGATAGGTAGTTTATGGGATGGTATCACTGAAAGATATCATTGTGTAAAATGACATCGCTGTGAGGGATGGTACTACAACTGGGATAAGTAACAGTTTTGGGGGATATATAGCAATCTAGAAAGGATGGGGACAAGAAACGACTGTGACGCACTTGAGAGCTTAGACTGAAAAGTGTTCCGTGCACTGTACTTATTATGATGCACGGTCAGTCCCACAATACAACTATATACCAGAAGACTACATTCTTCCCTTCACCTTCCCACCTTCTTGAAAAACCTGGTTAATGACCCTCCAAACTTCACCTAGACTGTAGATTAATCAAAGGTTCTAAAAGTGAAATGGGGAGTAATCTGCTCAGTCAAGGCAGCTAATGATATAAAACAGGAAACGTAAGATCAGTTTTAAAGACCTAACCTGATCTAACTTAACCTAACCTAATCTGACCTAATTTAACATAACCTAACAATGGACATGCATTATTACAAAGCCATGATTAAAGTGGAGGCTTCGTGACTTAAATATGGCCTCATGGCTGTGTCCACATCGTCTCAGGTGAATAATTTAGTTGTATAGTGTTCCATGCAGATCACACCACCACCAACTACTCAAAATAGTAACTAGCTGCTTTGCCAGACTGACACAAATAGCTATTCTACACTGGACGTCTACCCTCCCCGCACCTAATAACAAGCACGGTTAATCGATATGAAGACCACACCACCGTTTTTATCTGCAATTCATCGTGCTTAGCCAGTGTTCAATGCTCATGATATTTCAACATTTACCACGTGTGTCAGTCTTAACTCTTGATGGTAATATTTTCTGGAACACCACCCGTCTAGGACGGTAATACTGTAGTGGTTAATGTGGTAACACTGTTTCCGTGCTTAACTTTCTTTGGGTTGGTATTTTCCTTCTAGTGCTCTAGGCCATCACAGCTTCCCAGGGGGATACTGTAAATAAGCTAACTCAATAGTTCTGATGTAACACCCTAACAAAATGGGAAAAGGTATAAATTCAAAGTATAGATCTATTATATACTGACTACGTGTCCGGGAAAAGTTGACGTGGCGAGTGTTAACAAGTGGCTGGGACCCTGACGGCACCTCTCTGACGGAGCGGCTGACCTTGTTCACACCTGGCGTGGTGCTGCAGCAGGTGTTGGTCCCACACCTGGCGTGGTGCTGGAGCAGGTGTTGGTCCCACACCGGGCGTGGTGCTGGAGCAGGTGTTGGTCCCACAACAGCTGAGACATGGTGCTGGAACAGGTGTTGGTCCCACACCTGGCGTGGTGCTGGAGCAGGTGTTGGTCCCACAACAGCTGAGACATGGTGCTGGAACAGGTGTTGGTCCCACACCTGGCGTGGTGCTGGAGCAGGTGTTGCTCCCACATCGGGAGTCTAGCACGCGATTCGGTCAGGTTGGCATGTTAGTGACGCGGATAACAAGCAGTACTAATAATTGGCCATAACTGAGCTAGGATGGCTGATCATAAGCCCGGTAGTGTATATAACGAGACGTCTTTGAAGAAAACATGTCCCTCACAAGGAAAAATATTGCAGTTACCCAGAAAAACAAAATTAGGCTGAGTAACGTAAGAAAATAAATTGCCGCCATCCTAACCTGATATGACCAGCTGCACCAGGGATTGTCTATGGTCAAGAATGTAATGCAACAAGGCCGCTCATTCTATGATGCTTCGTTTAAGAGTTATCACGAGAAATATGATTGAACTTTTGATAACCATGGTTGATTTTTGACCTTGACCTCCAGAAAAAGTTTAGTTCTTATAGTTCATTCATAATTTTTAGTCAGATGTGGTGTATATAGGCTGAGATATGCTTCATTACACACACACACGCAGGGGCGAGGTGATGAGCTGAATATGAAACTGATAATTGAGTATGGCATGGACCTTGAAGGGGGTGGAGGTATGAGGGCCAGTGATGGACCTTGAAGGGGGTGGAGGTATGAGGGCCAGTGATGGACCTTGAAGGGGGTGGAGGTATGAGGGCCAGTGATGGACCTTGAAGGGGGTGGAGGTATGAGGGCCAGTGATGGACCTTGAAGGGGAGGTATGAGGGCTAGTGATGGACCTTGAAGGGTGGAGAGGCATGAGGGCCAGTGATGGACCTTGAAGGGAGGTATGAGGGCCAGTGATGGAAGGGGATGAGTATGAGGGCCAGTGATGGACCTTGAAGGGGTGGGATGAGCCCAGTGATGGACCTTGAAGGATGGAGGTATGAGGGCCAGTGATGGACCTTGAAGGGTGAGTATGAGGGCCAGTGATGGACCTTGAAGGGTGGAGAGCATGAGGGCCAGTGATGGACCTTGAAGGGGTGGGAGCATGAGGGCCAGTGATGGACCTTGAAGGGGTGGAAGAAGGGCCAGTGATGACAGGAAGGGGTGGAGGTATGAGGGCCAGTGATGGACCTTGGGAAGGGGTGGAGGCATGAGGGCCAGTGATGGACATGAGGGTCAGTGATGGGGAGTGGAGGTATGGGGGCCATGATGGACCTTGAAGGGGTGGAGGTATGGGGGCCAGTGATGGGTCTTGAAGGGGTGGAGGTATGAGGGCCAGTGATGGGTCTTGAAGGGGGTGGAGGTATGAGGGCCAGTGATGGGTCTTGAAGGGGGTGGAGGTATGAGGGCCAGTGATGGGTCTTGAAGGGGTTGGAGGTATGGGGGCCAGTGATGGACCTTGAAGGGGGTGGAGGTATGAGGGCCAGTGATGGATAAAGGAGGGGTTGGAGGATTGAGGGCAATAGAGAGGGGAGGAAGGAGGGAGAGGAAATACTTTGGGAGGAGAGGTAGGGATGTAGGGATACTGACGAGGAGAGACAGTGGGGGGAGGCTTGACCATGCTAAGGAGTTCAAGTCATAAGTCAGGTAATCACTGCACCCACGTCATGAGCAGAGAGTTATCCCCCACACCCCACAACAGATACACCTTTCAAATAATGTTTGCACCTCCTACGACCATAAACATCTGTAGTTGTGCCCCGTAATACATGACAAACAAAATGAGGACAATGTTGATATTATTGCCCAGATTTTTCTTCTATCTTTAAACATCAACACAACCTTGAGTCCGAGACAGCGAATTGACTGTAGTTGTAAGACTCACGATGATCCATGTTTGTACAGGCAAGGAATATGAATCAGCAAGGCTTATTTGTTGTTAATAAAACAAATAAGCCTTACTGGGCCCTAATGTATATTTGAGGTGAATGTTGATTTTCCCGTCGCAAATATTTCATACATTATTATTTTGCACTGTTTACGCTGAGTTGGTGTTGAGAAAAAATTGCCCTCTACTCAAAATTATCCTCATATTTGTATAATAATACTTAGATATACTGTATTAACGAAGGCACATGGTTGTATGGAAGGCATACTTATGTAAAATAAACAGTATTCCTTCTTTCTCACGTGCTTTGAGCGAAACTATAGACAAAACTAAAAAAAAGCTTAAACAGTTATTACACAAATAAGGAAATAAAAAGGGATACAAATAATTACCTTTTCCTATCAGTCACAAAACAAACTGATTTTGGTCGCAAACTCTTGCGCCATAGACTTCCTAAAGGGGAGGTGTGTAAGGCTATGGTTGTGTATGCAAAAAAAGAAGAAAAAATGCTATAACCAGGACTTATTAAGGATTTTACCTTACTTACGTGCTCAATAATAAATGAATAACAGCAACATTTTATACATTCTTATTATATACATTTGTATAATACAAATTGATATAGCTTGGTGATAAAAATATAGGGAAAGGATGCAGTTAAAATTGATTGGTATCTGTGCTGCGCGCGATGGTCCAGACCCGAAGTCGGGCGGTCGATCCCTGTTGCACATCGCGCACTTTTCGAATATTTCCTGATATTTATTCTTCTTAAATAAAAACTGTTTTACGTTGTTTACCATTTATCAAATTACAAAAGCATTCATTCTAAATTTCTAGAGTTTGAATTTCACACTGGCTTAATGTAATGCAAATTAAATGAAAAGTTCCTAATATGCAGACGACGTCCCACCACTCCACAACGAAGAGAGCTCCGTCTGTTTCCACCCTGCCTTGTCTTTCACGTATAAGCAGAATATAATTAATATCCTTTATATAGTTTAATGTATAAAAATAAAAGGTAAATATATATATTTAATAATATATTTCCTGATCACATCGAAAACAAAATGTCAGAATCAATATAACGGAACCCTTTTACTTAAAACAGACGGGCCAACAAAATGTCGGACTGCACGGGAAGGCTATTTTACCGATTATAGTTTACAGTTTCAAAGTTTCGGTGGAAATATACCTGCTATCGCGATTATATTAATTTAATGTGTAGCTTAAGGTGCTTTTTATAACTGAAACAGTAGTAAAAATGGACGAAAACACAAATTAAAAGAGACAAGTTTGTTCGTTCGTGCGACCATAAACAATAAACAAACCCTGAGGGCAGATTGTTATAGTAGGACGCTCACCGTTGCTGACTCTTCAATATTTCCCTTTTTTCACAAGAACCAGGAGGAGTTCTCTCATGAATCGTCAAACTGAGGTAAGTCAGTGTTCAGGGAATCCTATTGTGTATTGTGTGTAATGTCAGTCGTTTGAGATAGTGAGAAAAAGATGACTTTCTCAGAAACTCTCACCCAGGTCTGACCAAACGTCGCGTTCAGAGCTCTGCCAGCGATCCTGGGAAGAGACATCAAACTGACATTTCCAAACTAGCCTCTTTTAGCGACAGCGATGCTTACTACAACTAGAATTACTTAATTATCGCAAGTAAAGTGATCATTGGTTAATTGTAGTGGCTATATCATGTTGAAAGAAGTTAGTAGTGAAATTTGGACCAAGCGAGGAGGAAGAACGAGCTTTTTCATATTTATCTGTATTTACCGTATTGATGTGTAGTGTTTAGGTGTCAAGACAGGTGTTTTGCTGTTCTATATATATAATGTTGGTATATTACTGCTGTATAAGACAGAGTTTCCTGCTGTTGTGTCTGCAAGAAGTAATTGTACTGTGTGTGGGTGCATTTATAGTATTGAATGAAGGTGAAACAAACAGACATTGATGAATTTTGTTATATTATCAATATATAGAAGAGGCAAAGGCAAAAAAAATATTTTTGTGTGTATCACAATTATGAAAATAGTGGATAAAATACTAATTATTGCTATGTACATTGGTGTATTGTAATATAAGTAAACGTGCATAAATATGGGCTTTAGCTATGGTACATGGCCATTGGAAAACTAGCTTTTAGCTGTTGAACTATAGACAAAGATCTCGAAGGTAGTACATTACTGTTTGCCTATAATTCATCTAATGACCACCCAAACTAATGGTGGCCAAGACAAGGGAAGGAGGCCAGTGGTCTGTTCTTGATAGCCTTGTCCAGTGTTGTTTTGAAGCCCAGTGGGCCAGTACTGTTCTTGTTTCCACAACATGAGCTGATAGACTGTTCCAAAGGTCTACTACCCTGTGTGTTAAGAAGTTTTTCCATATATTTATCTTATACTGTACCTGATATGACACCTTGGTGAGCTTCAAGTTGTGTCTTCTCGAATTGGTGATTTGTGACATCATAAAACATTGTCCCAGGTTTATGTTTACCTTCTCTTTCAAGAATTTGGATGTCTCTTGACTCAGTGAGATCCACCATACTGTCTTGTGATTACTTGTAAGAAAGAATAGACTTACCTCACCAGTATTGAACCAATATCTTCAGATCTTAAAGACTTCACACTTTGACTCTTGCTGTAGTTAGATTTTTAAACTTATGCAAGAGACTTGACCGTCACATAGGCATGAACTACTATTTCATCTAGATGGCTAGATAACCACTTTTTGGTAAATACATGATTGCTAATGATCATGGAATCTTGGGATATATCATTAATTGTTTTAAGCTGCATGCAACATGAACCAACCAAACCTAACCTAAGTAAACATGCAGTAACTTATACAAAAAATTAGGCAAGATCATTAAATCAAGTTAGATTTATTTGGTTTAAGTTTTTGCAGTCATAAATAGTTTATAACAGCTAGATATTGAGATCAGAACAACTCTGTAACAAATCTCTGCATCTGTTACAGCTTTCAAAGTTCACCAAATGCTCTTGTTTAAGCTACTGTTTGTATGAAATATTATTTTTTCACAATACTGATCAGATGAACACCCTTTGTGGTCTCTACTTTATAATATTTTTTGTGCTACCAGTACTACTCACAGGATGAGTATGGGGTGTACAGTAAACTAGATGCTGTCCGTGGCAAAAATTTATTTTTCAATAAACACACGTGCGTGCAATAATTCCTACAGTCCTTTTCACATTCAATACAGTTTGCCAGAAAGAAGAAAAAATCACACAGTCACTGTACATAGTATTTATTCATTCTGTTATAAAATATGTGTTCTGCCATGGTCCATGGTACTTATTACTTTCTGGATGTTCATACTTCACACTTCTATTATGTTCTTTATTTCATCCATTCATTTGCTTTTTAGGCTTCTCCCCCTCCTCCTACTATTCATCTCATTATCTGTAATTCTTCACTCCTCCAGGAAGCTGTCTTCTGATGGGATTGCCACAACAGAAAATCCTCCAGCTCGCCCTATTACTAAGCTACATGCAGTACTGCCTTTGCCCTTTCTGTTCTGGTAACCCCTCCCCAGTTCTCCTCTTTTTGCAAGGTACCTTTCCACCTTTCCTGTCATTGATGTCAACAATTACTCTTTATGCAATACACCAGCTACATTGCCCAATACTGTACATTCTCTTTATTATCATCTTCTCCTGCATCCATCTCAAATGTCCATGCAAGCTCACATTCTTTCCCTTTATAATACTTACCAGCACCGCAATCACCCTTCTTTGGAACTTAGTTGGTCTGTGTATTTCAGGAAGATTTCAAATATAATATTGGTCCTATGGAGAATTTTTTTGTATTGTTCTCCTTGAAGATCATATAATCTATGGTCCTGATTTAGTAATTGTGATTAGAGATATTCCGAGAATATTCCTCTCTTTTGCTAGTTATGCCCAAAAGCCAGGCAACTTTCAAAATACATTTGGCATGATCAGAAAATAGGATATTGTATACTGTAATTTCTTCCTCCATTTATGCTAGCCAATGTGTTTTATTATTAATTTTGGGTATATTGTGCTCTACCAATCATTCCTTCTTTCTTGTTACACTGTCTCCATATTATGGCTGGCATGGTGCAAAATTAACTCTAAGGGAATTAGGTCTGAAGGAATTTAAGGCTGCCCACTGAGCATGCTCAATGCCAAACATATCCACCGATTAGAATCCAGAGCACTAATCTGACTGCTATCTGATGCTACAAAAAGCTAATTATCAAAGCTCCTCTAAAGATATAGGGAAATCAACAGTTGTAGTTGTTATCATTCAGTAATAATGTAATTTTTCCTGCAGTTATTGGTTTGATTTGATTTGTTTACATTTAAATCTGGCCTTCCCAATTCTAGGGCTAATGTTAGGCTGGGGTGGCTAATCTTGACTGTCACTACTCTCTCATGCATGTACAGGTATAGTATTTCAGTCCCTTTTTTGTGAGGTATGGGGCTGATCAACTAGAGTCAGGTCTTGATCATAGGATATGAGCATAGGATAGACCTTTCTTGTTGGGAGCAGATTTGCTAGCTAAATTACCAAACCTATTTCCTTTGGGGAATTGTCATACTAACATTTGATTTGCCAAGGTTATTCAATCATGAACCTTTATTAAGATGGTAGTTAACTCAGATGGGTTTAGGCCGGACAGTGTAGTTAATTTTTGGTAGAGAATTACCAAAAGTCATGTGAAGTATACAGTACCTCCTATGAATAGTTTTACATGATACGTACTGGCATGATAAGCAGCTCCAAAACCTTTTTGCACTCACAGAGAATGTGAGTGAGCTTATGTACTGGACTAGAAAACATATCCTACCGGGTATATTATTCAAATGCTTAGGATGCGGCACTTATGGTTAACTTTAAGTAAATGAATTATGGTTAATGCTTCATTGCAATTTTACATTTGAAATAGGTTTTACATAATGCTGGTCAATAACACTAATTTCCAGTTTGTTTGAATTCTGGCTTTGGACATTTTGAAGAAAACTGGCAGACTGTACTTCAGCAGGTTCAGGGATGGGTTAGTGAGTTTTGGTGATGACAAGAGTACTAGCTTTTATGGGCACTTTTAATGGTAGTGGCTCTTCTGAGGTGTTTAGGGGCTTTTCTGGTTTGTGTTGTCTTTCATACTCCAGGAGACAAAGAATAATGTTTCTAAATCTGTATGTTTGAATATGTAAGGGAATTCAAAATCCTTGTCACAGTTCATGATGTCTGTTGGGGGAACTCACAGTGGACAGTTTTTGGTTTCAAGTTCACTGTTAATCTGTTTCATAAACTGTAAGTTGTAGTTGGAACTACTGTATGATTCCTAAGCTTCTTAAGTGATATAACAGGGTCTGAATGGAAATAAACCTGCTCATTATTATGTAGAAGGCTCTTTGGATATTTTTCTCTGAATATCAGATACACTGTATGAGTCATTCAATACTGTATGTTCATCTGGTAAATCTGCTAATAATGCTGCATGAGATCCAGTGGCAGTGAACTCTTACACACCTCTTGTTGCAGCATAACTTTCATGAGAAATTCTGCACAATAATGTGATATGTATGTAAGTTTTCTTTAGTAACGACCTTCGGAATTATGTAGAAGAAATTAAGTACTGTACTGTACCTGATAGTGTAGTTTTCAATACCAGAAATGTATGAATGCTGTAAATGTGAAGTCAGAAGATACTGTAAGTACAGGGGGGGGGGGTGCATCAGCAAAGGGAATGTTGCAGCAGGTAGGGTTAAGGGTTCAAGAATGATTAGACAATGCAAATCAAATGTAAACTTGCCAACATACTGAAGGACAACCTCCAGCTTTTCTCCCGTAGCTGTCATGCATCCAGAAGCCAGCTCACGTTAGGATCCTCCATCATTGAGGTTACCACTCAAGCATAATGAACCCATGGGAGAAGGTCGGTAACAAACTTACTGTATGAAGATAAACCTTGTGAATTGACAAACAAGAACTAATATTGGTCTTACTTACATGATAATATTTCTTGTGAACTATTCTTGATGTAGTAAATAAGCAATCAGGAGAGCTGTTCTGATACACCCATTCTTGATAGCATTGAACATAGAACTGAATTTCAGAATGGTGCATTGATTAGAAGTCAAAGATGAGAGACAGTAGTCTTGGCACAAAGTGTGCTGTCTGGGTGACTCATGTATCTGAAGCCAGTCCTACATAAGGAGATGGACTCAAGTGCTTCACACATTAATGCAACATGTAGCCCACTAGGAAAGGCAATTGATACCTGTACTGATACAGTAAGTTAAAAACTAACCTTGCGTACTTCCCAAATTACTGTCATATTAATGTAATCCTTCCCTCTCTAAGGTGTGGATATAAAGTTCTGGTCAATGACCGTCCCTGTTTTACTGAGCTGAATTATTTGCCTGACACAAATAATTTGGACGATGCTGTGACAATAAATTCATGTGTCTATACATTGCAAATTATTTGTGGCAGTTAACTGCACAAATTATTCTGAAGATAAACAAAAGTTTATTAAAAATTTAATTGCAGAAGAAGGACCTAAGCAACATATTCTAGCCACCCACCAGGATGGAACTATCTCTGAGTATACTGTACTGTACAGTGTTATCAAAAAATGTATGAAATAAATCTAAAAATTCTTATCAAATGCCTCTAAATTGTCATGGCTAACTGCACTTAAAAAAATTCTAAAAGGCAGCAATATTCTTAACTCTCAGAAAGCACAACCAACCTTTAAAAAAGAAAAAAAATCCAGTTTCACTAAATGTGAAACACCTCCCAAGTTCATATTACCTACAGTATTGAAAAACTGTACAGTATTATGAGCTCCTTGGCTTATGGGAGTATGCTAGAAAGATCACAACAATACTGTACCTGCACTGTGGTGGGGTGATCTCACGGGTCACTTCCCCCCTCTCCTATCAAGCCATATTATAGCATTTCGTACTTCATTCCTTTGCCCTTTATATTACTGCTGTTGGTGGTACAGCTGTAAAAAGTTTGCCTCACAGCACTGCTGCTGTGGGTTGAAATCCTCAGGTCGGATGTGAGAACGGTGTACAGTACATAAGCCGTATGACCCTACCAAACATTGCAGGTTTTCTCCTGGATACTCTGGTATTGCCACTATAGTGATGCATTAACTTGAACAAATATTATAGGTTATTGGATTTCAGCAGAATTTTGTACATAAACCATCTTTTAATGTACGTGTATACCGGTATTAAGAATTTTAATACTGTAATGTATTTGAGTTCTACCCATGTTTGCCAAATTGGATACAGGAAAATTAATGCATTTGATTTGACAGATTTAGGTAAATAAGTTTCATACAATATTTTGTGGTACAGTACTGTTTCACTTAATGCCTTTATTTTTTCTTCTTCTGAACCATTTGTGTTAAAATGCAGAGTAATGTTGAAATATTAGGCCGTAGCTTAATATGGTGTGTGCATTTTGGAAGTGATTTTGAATAATTATGTTGTTTATTTCTTGATTTGTAATTGTAACTTTTTTCTTTTTCAGATTATTTTACTGAGGATGCTTCATCACAGCAGTAACATAAAGTGACAGAGAAGGCGCAACACCCTTGTGGAAGTTTGCCAGCTAGTGTCTTCTGTCTAACTCACAATGCTTCTTCTGCTTCCACTATTACTACCAGAATACAGGCGATATGGTCTGGTGTAGACCATTGCTGTTCTGGTCTTGTACCACTGGGTTTCAGATGTTTAGTTCCACTCCTTAGGAGTATGAGGATTTACTGGTGATTTGTGGGCTTGCAGACATTAATTAGTTTAATTTTAACCTGAGCCATATTAGTTGGGCTTTGCAGAAATTTTTTTGAAGGGAAAGAAGTGGCAGTTGCCATTATATTTTTTTTTGTGATCATCTTCCGAAACACAAACTAAAATGCCTACAGAGAGCCTTGGATTAGATTCTAGAATGGCAGCGATGGACATGGACCCTAAAGGCTTTAGTCCCATGTCAGGACCAGATGATAATATGAGCTCACCCCCTAGTGTATTAACAACAGCTTCTGCTGGATCAACACCCTCTTCCATCCCATCCGCTGGGTCCACACCGTCATCCATTCCATCGGCGGGATCAACTCCATACCAGTATAATACTCAAGAAGATGTTGGGATGAAACCCATCACCCCATCGTCAGACCACCAGCCTATCACTCCAATGACGCCGGACCAGCCCATAACCCCTGATCAGCCCATCACCCCTGATCAATCCGTTCCATCTGATCAGCCCATTACACCGGACCAGCAACCCCCACGAAGTCCAGCAGTATATATGGACAGTTTGAAAGATGGAATGTATGTGGAGAAAATGGACATGAGTGTCAGTGCAACAAACAGACACTCACATCCCAGTGGAAGCAGAGACAGTGAACGACGTGATGATTGTTCTTGTATTCTTTGTGAGGACCACAGAAGACATGCAAATGATCCACATCCAGAAAATGATTGTGATTATATGCTTGACGGAAGTGCAAAGGATCGATACAGTGGTGAAATAAAAGTAAAGACAAAAAGAAACAAAGACCCAAACGCAGAGCGCAAACCCCGTAAACGTAAACAGTCGGGAAAAATGCACTACCAAAGTGAAATATCTCAAGATTCAGAAGTGACTGGTATAAGAATGAAGATTAAAATGACCCTCCCTCCACTTAAAGACAACAGTTCACGTGCAGTTGCAGATGTACCCATGGGAAACCGAACTTTTAGTGTCAATTCTAGTCTAAGTGAAAAGGGGTCTGGAAAGAGAAAAAATTATCATGGCAGTGACAATGATAATTACAAATTAGGGGAAGGAAGAAAACGGAGAAGAGCTTCTGGTACAGAATTTGAGTGGGGTCCAGTATTAAGTGAAGTGAATGGTGAACCTCAGTCACCTTGGGCGTGGAAACTACCCCCATTAGTTTTGTTCAAAATTCTGGACTTGGTCACTCAAAATGTGGGAACAATTCCATTTCTTCTGAGGTGAGTATATCTATTATCTATGCTTTGTAATGATATACAGTACTGTAGCTTTAAAAAGCTTTCCTTGTGCAATCCTTCCTTATTTAGCTACCAATTATTATACTGTACTGTAATTATTAACTATGAAGTCTATTTTCACAGATCTATTACAGACTTTTTGTTTCCAACCCATTTTTTTTGTCGTTAGTTGTTCGATGCATAGAATCTAACTTCCTTTAAACCTAAATACAATATGGTATGTCATTCATTGACTGGCTGTATGTATCTTGTGGAGACTTCCCTTGACCAAAATTTCCTTGACTTCATTCTTGCATCCATGCAACCATCCCTCACCCATTACACTTCTGTGAGTCCATACTATGACATTTGTTGTGAAATTTAAAACAGCAGTATGGTTAGACAAAATGGTTGTTGATTTTCAGAATTTACCAATTTTTAAAAACTGATAAGTGTATGGGAACCAGAATTCTAACCTACTGTTGTCGTTACTTAACTTTACTAGTGTTATATGATAATTTGTATGTTAACATGATACTGTATACAAAAGTGTAAAAATTTACTTTGGGAATAAGATACGTAATTTTGTTCTTAATTTTTTTGATCTGAGTAAAGTGATTAGTACAGTAGTTCCTTAGTTATTCTGGGTTAACCTTCCTTATCAGAGGATTTTCTGTATGGAAGGGAGGAAACCTTCATTTCTGATATAGATTTGGTAGAGTCAATGTATATTGAGGGTCAGAGGTCAGCATTTAGAAATTCAATTTAGTTGATATTGTGGGTGTTCAGACAGTCAAGGTATATGATAGCTATATTCTTCATGCAGATTTAGGTATACAGTAGCCATATTGGGAAAGTAGTGCAAAGAGTTGTACAAAAACATTGATCAAAAGTAATTTCCTCTGCACCGTGGGAAGTCATCACTAGACTTCATTAATGGTTCTCATATTTTAAGGAAAGTACCAGTGTCTCACTGGACATGAAAGGTCTGTAAATAGCTGCAAAAGTAATTAATGCTGAATTGGATGTTGGGATTGCTGTGTCAAACTTCCACTTCATTTCATTTGTTTATGATAGAAGTTTGGAAGAACTTTTTTGTATGAAATCCATAACTTTTGTCAGTTCAGGACTTTGATTTGGTTGTCGGTACTGTACCACGTACTGTAGGCATTCTCCTCCAGGAAAGTTGTTATTCCAGCAATATGCTCTTTTAAATTTTTACATCAGCATTAACACTTAAGACACACTAATGGATTTTCATCTATCTCTTTTCAAGAGAAATCTACTGATTCAAGTGAAATCCATTTACTATTTCATCCTCTTTTATTTTTGTGAGGTTGTTTTCCAAACCAAGCAGAAGGTGGTAGCTAGCATAATTCATACTTTTTTATATGTGCCAGTAAATCTTTCACCTCTTCTCTCTTGTCAGATCAAGAATTTTGTAGTTGGATAAAGTGAAATTATTTCTCATGGTTAAGGACTGTCTTGGTAACTGAAAACATTATCACAAAAATTTCAGAGTAGGCTTGTCAGTTAATAGAGAGCAGGGGAGTGTTAAAAGTAATAGTGAAATAGGTTCTTCACATGGAGCAAGTGCCCATACTGACACCAAGAAACACTAGAGCCCCTGATTCACAGTATGACCTCTCTTAATTCAGTTCCAGAGGATTTATTCTTACGTTTGTACAACAGATCTTAAGTGAAAATTTTCAATAATTAGGTTTTGTTATTTTTTATCCCTTAAAAATTTTTACAGAAAAAAATGGAAATTAGCAGTTCTGTTTGTTTTGTGTTTACTTAGAAATTTCATAATTCTTTCCTTTTATTAGTTCTTTAGTACGAAGTGCAGAAGAGCGTATATTATGCCATTATCATAATTGTTTACGATTTTATAGTTCTATGTTGCAATAAAATACCCTGTACACCAATATTTATTGGCATTATTAACTCGGGAAGCCTCCTGAAATCTGTGCCACTATGACCCGTATTTGAGGAAATGCTGTACTGTATTGGTTAGGTTTCACCCTTAAGCAATGTGTTATCATTTATCATAGTGACACAATTGTGATTCAACTTTACCCAAATTTCACAGCTGGTTGGTTTAAGCTTCAAATAGGCAATGTACTGGTTGTCCCTGGTTTACACATTTAACCCTTTGGCTATGAATGATTTCCCTAAGCTGAATAAAATCGTCTGGTCGTAGCCGGAAAAAAATGACAGTGGGAACCGCATTGAAAGGGTTAATTTGTTTCTGAAAATATGTTTGTAAACCAGATCAGTAAGTCTCATTGAAACATTGATATAGATAATTAATTTGGTCCTATAGTTACACAAATGAAAACCACTGTACAGTATTTTAAATATAAACTAACTGTATTAATACAGTACAGTGGTCCCTCGGTTAACGAACAAAATTCGTTCCACAGTCGTTTGTTAACCGAAAATTTCATTAACCTAATCTATTATTTCAATGGGATATTGGGTAATTGGTTCCAACTCACAGAAAAAGTACTTACAAAGTACTGTATACCAGTAATAGAATTAACAAAACATTAAATATAAACTAAATACAGTACTGTACTGTACTGTATGGTATACTGTATAATAATAAATAAAAACAATATAATACTGTATTTTAACTTACTTTGAGGTGTGTATGTCGTATTCCCGGCAGCTTTGTTTACATAACAAACAGCTGATTGTAGAGGCAGTCGATGATGACATGTCATATTCTTTACAGAGTGCTTTGGTTCTAATGCCTTCTTCGTGTTTCATAATAATTTCTGCTCTATATATTTTCAATATGTTAACTAAATTTCAGAATGACCAATAATTTTAATGTAAAAATGCAAAAATATTCAAGTGACCAACAAACTGGATGTTCTCTCCACTGTAAACAAAGTTAAACTGAGAAGCGTTGTTGGGTGATTCATTCAGCTGATTGGCACCCAAAAACTGTTCCCTGTACTGTATATATTATTAATATGTTAACTAAATGACCAATAATTTTAATATAAAGAATGCAGAAATATTCAAGAGATCAACTTTTTTGATATTTACTCCACTGGAAACGAATGTAAACATAGAACCGATTACTGTATTGGCGAACTGGCCGATCAGCTGATGCGCACAACAAAACGTGTTTGTCGTAAGGATTTCGTTAATCGAAGTTTTGTTCGTTAATTGAACTGAAAATCCTTATGGGAGCTGATTCGTTAACCGAAATTTCGTTAATTGAACCGTTCGTTAACCGAGGGACCACAGTACCAGTATACAAATATTAATACAAATTAATACTGTACGGTATATACTGTATTATAGATATTAAGAATAAAGCACAGTAAAATAAGTAAAAAATGCTTACAACACTATACAAAATGTGTTTGGTGCCACTCAAACAAAGCAGATGCATTTTGGGGGGATGCTTATGTGCAAAAGTGATGCTCAGTACGGCCACACAGTGATTGTTTTCCTACATTTAAGTGTCCAAATTTCTCTTTTTCTCAATTGGTAGTTGTATTTTTGAAAAACTATGGATGTATGAGCATGACCAATGTTTAAAAGACTGAAACATAAGTTATAAATACAGTACAGTATAATGTTCGTATGCTGGGTATTCAGAATCCGAGCATTGTCTGCGCTTTCAAAATTAATAAAGAAAGTTTTGTTATTATACCATAAAAAAAAAAATTTTTTTGGACAACTTTGAATTAAGGTCAAGATGGGGCATTGACAAATGATACCCTGTGTTGGTAAACCCTGCTGCTATATGGCATCACAAATATTGTGACCAAGTCCCAGGTTGCTGATCTGACTTTCTGCCTCATTTACACAAAATTGCAGGGTCTCAATTGTTTCACTTACTATTGACAACACAACATACATACAGTACAGTATATTGTTTCTCACTTTTGATCTTTTTTTCATTTTTTTATTTTATTATTATTATTATTATTATTATTATTATTATTATTATTATTATTATTATTATTATTATTATTATATTTTCGCCCCCCAGGCCTTGATGTGGGTCAGTGACTTGTGCCCGGGTGGGCTAATCCCCGTTAAAAAAAAAAAAAAAAAAAGTTTTTTAAAATTACCTAAAGTTAAACAATACAGTTTGGACATTACTTTTGAGATAATTGCATTCATTTTTCTTGTTAAAGTTATTCATTGGATTCCCACAGAACATCAAGAGTGTGCAGATTATGGCGAAGTGTTTCTATAGACAAGAGGCTGTGGCACACTGCTGACCTAGCTACTGGACGTATCAAACCCCGATACCGTAATGAAAAGAAGCTGTTGTGGCTTCTTGAGCACAGACTCAGTGATGTGCGTGACCTTACCCTAGGTAGGATGATAATACATTTTATGTTTAAAATGCAACTTTTCTGTGTTTTTAATATTTTTGGGGAATTTTAAGATAATTATAATTTGTGACTTTATGTACTGTGTGTGTGTGTGCAGTACAATACAAGGTGACTTGCATAATACCTCACTAGGTCTTCAAGGTTAAAATCTAGAGAGCTCAAGGACAATTGGGATCAATTCATGATGTAGTTTTGTTTTGGAATTTGTTCCTTATAAAGTTGCATTGTTAATATTTTCTTGCTACCTTGAGCTCTTTACATATTTGATATAATATGTATATAATAGAACATCTCATATTTGACTTTGAGATCTTTTCAGCTGGGTGGAATGAGGCTGTGACACCACATCTCTTGACAAAGCTGGTGCAGTTGTGCCCAAATCTGACTGGCCTAAACCTCTCGTACTGCCATAAAATCCATTCAGAGAACCTTCACACCCACCTTGCTACTTGCCACAAACTGCAACGCCTTGACCTTACTAATGTTATGGAGGTAAGTAATTGGCATCGAGATGTAAACGAAACATTGAATAATTTTTAGGCGAGAAAATTATCAGTGCTATTTTTGTATTTTTTCAAATACAGGTACATGTTTTTTTTTTACAATTTCTTGATATGTATTGACAGGGAATGGATGAGTCTGTTATGATACAGGTAATGAATACTCCTAATATTTGTAATATGAAGCATTGTTTTGTGATTTTTTGTCCGCCTTAGATGACTTTCGTATTATCCCACCAAGTCTAGGAGTTTAAAAGCCTTGAAAATATTTAGACTATGGAAGCAGAGACTAATCCATTGATTAGTTATACCTTTCCACTGAAGCTCATGCTCTTAAAAGAGGGTCTTAGAAATAGGGGGAAAAAAATCTATCCCAGAGAAGTAACAGTTGGTATACAAGAGTCTTTGTGAACACCTTGTATTTGTTGTTTACTAAATTTTACAGTTATCAAGATATTCATCTTTCAGTTTTCTATTTTTCTAGGTAAATTTATGCTCCCAGCCTTCATTAATGTAGTTAATGATGATCCAGGAGTCTGATATACAGTACTGTATAAGCAAAGACTCCCTGAATCTGCCTCTGACTGGACTGCATGAGGAATCTGAACTTCTCCTTGGATCCAGACCCTAAGTCCATTGTGCAACAAAAATTTCTAAGGCCCGAATGCACATGCTTGATTCATTTGAACAAACCAATAATGATGAGTGTGGTAGTGTGTGAGGGGAAGGAGGGAAAGTCCCCTTAGTAGCAGAGTGGCTGAGAGATACTGAGCATCTCATTAGCTGAATCATCTGGGCATCAGGGCTCCAGTCCCTCTCAGTAGGTGTGTGTTTGGTCCATCGTGCATTTATGATGTGTGAATTCTCACTTGCTTTTTGTCATACAGTACAGTACAGGACAGCTTGTAGTGTATTAAGTATACTGTTAGTGAATGGAAGTCAACAGAAGCACGTTAGTGCCACCACTTTAAAGAAATTAAGAGATCCTAGAGAAACTGGAATAAGATGTTAATGTGGTGATGTTGATGGAGGAGTACTGTGTGTGTCATGCAAGTCAGGTGAGGACCCAAATGAGGGATTTTTGTTATTTTTAATTATAATGTATATATACTTTTAGGGTAATAATTATGTCCACTGTATAATTTTAGGGTAAAACTAACTTGATTTATAGGTGTGTTTCTCCAATTTGAACTCTTCATTTATGTGAACGACTCAGGGTGAATGAATCTGGAGCTGAGGGGCTTAAATGTTGAGTAATATATAATCTCTTAACTGGATATCCCTTAAATGGAAGTCTATAATAGGCAGATTTGAGAGCCAGCAGATTGTTCTTGCTGTTTCTTCATTTTTGGTTACGTGTTAAAAAAAATTTGGTCCTCTACACTGATAATGTTGAATATCTTATATTTTGATGATCAACTTTGAGTGATGATAAGAAGATATCTTGCAGTACCTTCTTGTAAGTCATAATTAAAGTGTTATGATAATCTCTGACTGCTCATTTTTCTGTTGTCAACAGTCTCATAAGCCAACTCCTCGATGTGCTGTGGGTCAACAAACTTTGTCAGACTTAGCATCAACAATGAAAGATAGACTGACTCATCTCACGTTGGCCAACAATACTCTGTCCAATATGCCATCACTAATTAAGTCATTATCAGTGAGTATTTTATATTATTGTAACAGGTGAGAAACATTTACATTTATTAATTTGCAAAGTACTGTATTTGCTATTGAGGGCAGAATTATTTTTATAACTACAAATCTCTTATATGGTGCAGTGTATTATTATTCGCTTCATATACATACTGTATAGATTTACAAGAGAACTCATGGATGCTCTAGAGCCTTAACAGTGTATATTCATAGATATGTTCAACACTATTTGCAAGTACCTGTACTGTATTGCAATATAATTTTTAATTTATATTTTTTTAGACTCGTATATCTGTCAAATCATTTGTTAACGGTCTCAGTCCTGATTCAATGAATTTTCCCAGTTTCCATTGCATAATATGTAAAAGAAGAGAGTGAAGTACTGTACAGGAATCCCTCGTTTAGTGCACTTTCATTAAGTGCTTTTTGTTTTACAGGTACAGTATCACTGTTTCATTTTTTTTCCAGTTAGCACGCTTAGTTGCCACATATTTTTTTTTTGTGTGGTTTTGTATCAGAAAATGTTCAAGGTACTCTTCAACATGGCTGTGCATTTGTGAGTTGTGCCACATGCCCAGGTTATATAGTGGTTACTTCGTGGTACAGGTACCACTGTTCTGTGCGGATACAAATACAGTAAACAACACTACATCCAGACACCTTGGCTCTTGGATATGTCCGGATAATAGAATGATTCCCAGGTGTGGTGGAAGGAGGGAGTTATGTTCTCAGCATTAGCCAAAATCCTTCTTTTGACAATGGTTCTCGAATGTTTTAAGTTTTAGTGCACAAACTAATAGCATTGTGATGACTAAATAATGTAAATTTTATTGATTGAATCATCATTCCCGCCTTAACTTAGTCCAGATTGGGATCCATATCAATCCCTTCCTGGATCACTTGGTTAACAAGGGTGAGGTAACATGTTAGCCTCTTCCTTGTCGGCTGGGTCTTCAGGAACACATTAACCGTACTAAATGAGGGATAATTGTTCTAGAAATGGAAATAAAAAACTTTAAAACTTACATTCTATCTCAATTTATGTTGTGTTAAACAAATTGAATCAGGACCTTGACATTCGCTAAATGTTTAATATTTACTTAACTTTCTACCCTAAGCTTGTAATGTACTGTACTGTACAGTACAGTAATTAAAAAATACTATCGATACAAAATTCTATTGAGATAGTATGATAACGAATGAAGGATTTTGACAACCCTACTGAGACAACGGTAATCGCAGTGTTCATTCTGAAACTCATCGACACTCCCCCCCCCCCCAGTGCAGATAGTTTTTCGAATGACTGTACATCATTGTCATTGACATAATCATATATTTCAACTACAAACACACACTCATGTCACTACTACAGGTATACCTCACTATATATTACCTTGTTATATGTCTTTTGCATACGTGTTGTTGATGAATTGAGAACAAAATTATATTTTCCCCCTAAAATTTGAGCATTTTATATGATGCCCGAACACAACAGCTTTAGAACACTAAACAGCCATCTAAGTAATCCCTCCACTACAGTCACATCATGCTTGAGTAAGTAAAACACACTTATATTTCCTCCAAGCACATTTTATTAATACTGTAAACTATTAATGTTTGTCATTAATTACTATGTTCAGTACAAATCCACTAGATATTGAGATACTGTGTATTTAAAAATAAATATACTGTATACAATACATATTGGTAACTGGAGTTTTTGGTTCATTTTAGACACATAGTGTACAACTGCACTGGGCTTACATAAGGTAACACACACTAATAGTCCCTGTATCTATACCAGTGGAACATACAATAACTCGTAACTAACCAATGAAATTATCTGCTGCAAGGAGCTGTATAAACAGAAGAAGAAAGCTGTCCAGTAGTCTTTGGGCTAAATTTTTTAATATTTAACCTTGGATGAAGAGGCAGGCAATCCTGCCACTTTGTCTCAACATCTACACCACTCCCTAACTCAGCTGGCCTCTATACACAATTTCTGCAACCAATTCGGGTATTTTTTATATCTAGATATTTTCAAGATTGCCTGTCGGATGTTTAGCGAGGTATACCTGCACTCTTTTGACATACTCTGAGGCTTTTAAGGCTCAATTATTGATTTTAACATCTTCTGTGTGATTTATCTCCCCATCTTACCTTCTACTCTGTAACCATAAATTACTTTTACCAGTTGTCAATTATATGCCCAAGCCAAAGCAGCGCATGAATAATTTCTATCACATTCATAGATAAATAAAGGTGACCAAGAATTGGTCAAAAGCTATTCATACTTTGTATTTTTTCTTTTAGGTCATTTATACAGGGGGGGGGGGGGTATTTGCTCTTTAAGTGATTACTATTGTGGCATAATATATTTAAGTGTAGTTCTTATATTATGATGTTATTGTACTTGATATGTCAGGGGATGCTTGTATGAATGAAAAATACTTATATAATCCATACAGGAAAACTGCCACAATCTCCAAACATTGGACCTGTCAAATGTGATGACTGTTGGCCGTGATTGTGTGTTGATCAACATTGAAAGGTTACAAACAGGATGCACAAAGTTGAAGAATCTTAGACTTACAAACTCTCTTGTTAGACTTAATCAGAACTCACTGCAAGAACAGGTATGTATCTTAACAACAAATTAATAATTTTATGAAATATTAAAAGACAAAATATTTTTTATACAATTATATACTTAGAGGCTCCACTAATGACATTTAAATACTACTTAAGAGACTCCATCTTTTGAATGCAAGGACAGAGTATTTGATAATATGTGATTGATTTAAAAAACTTATACAAACATCAAATACAGTTGAGAGGAATACTGCTTTAAGTGCCTGTTTAGAAATGATGATAGAATTTAATGTACATTTTTTATAGTTTGCCATGCAAGAGTAACACATGTTCATGGATTGTAAACTTATGGCTTCCTCAGAATTTTTTTTTTACTTCTCTAAAAGACTTTGTTCCAATCATCAGTAGACAGAATTAATTTTTCATATATGCTGCATCTGGATCATATTAGTGATAATTTTGTCCATTGATATCCCACGATGTGTTTCCATACTGCAAGTAAACTATTTCCACCTTATATGCATCAGTCTGAAGGTTTAAAGAGCCTGTCAAAGTGATGTGTGCTCACACAAACACTGATATACACTTATGTATTCGTTTAATTGAAGTACAGCACAAGAAATACAATAGGAAACAAAAAGGGTATGGCAGTGTTGACGAGTGAGAATAAACATTGAATGCCAAGTGAGTTAAATAACTATGTAAAGGGTGTGAAGTGCTTTATTCACTAGTTCATTAAAAAAAATATATATATTTTAGTTAAGTATACTGTAGTTGTATTAACGTTGTCTTCTTTAATGTAGGAAATGTTCCACTAGATAAAAGAGATTGTCTTGAAATATTTCATAGGTTAGTGATATCTTTGTGCTTACATTGATGTCCCTATCTGTTGGTAAACTAACAAACATTTTATTCATTCAGGCATCATCACCAGGGTTTCCAGAGTTAGAAGAGCTCAGTTTGGCTGTTATTGGTAACCTCAGTGTTGGTATGAATGATGGTGAATTGGAGCGGGTCCTCAAGAACTCTCATAAACTACGCCTGCTGGATGTTAGAGGGTAAGTTGTGCTGTATTTCAGTAATACTGTAACTAGGTGTAGTTAATAGCATCTAAAGGACTGTGCATTACGCAACCATTTGGATAATGTAAAAAGGCAGCTTAGATGTGATGAATCTAATTAAGTAAGATGTAATTATAGGTATATAGTTGTGAGTTTAAGAATGAATGAAACAATCTTGTGAAGGAAGCAAATCAGGACCTTACCATCAGTTGAAATCTCCATTCATGACTATGGGCCATTGTTGCCAGATTTCATAATAATATATACAGCTCTTCCCCGACTTACGACGGGGCTAGGGACCCAAATCCAGGTCGTAAGTCGAAAATGCTTAAATAATAAATAGAAAATCTAAAATGGGTGTCTCTTTTTCTTCCCAGCACCACAAAACTCTCACCTTCAAGCTTGCCAGCCATTTTAAAGTGAATTACAAATTTTTTTTTTTGTCAGTACACTGACGTTGGGACTCGAAAATACGTAATTTGAAAAAATTTTGGTACGACTGAGGCAGGTCGTAAGTGCGGGTGGTTGTAAGTCGAGTAGGTCGTAAGTGGGGGAGGCGCTGTATACAAGATAAGATCGAAGATACTGGTGGTCTCTCCTACTATCTTAAACTTAACAGTGTCCATTCGGTCAATATATTTTCTCCAGTCTTCATATCTTATCTCCTTTATTTGTTTTGTTTTCTTCATTTCTTGTCTTATTTTTTCTGCTTTTCAATTTGTGTTTGTTTGTACAACCCTTTTCTCTTCATAGTCTTGCTTGTCACTGTAGTTGGTGAGGGTTTCTTTTATATGATAACCAGACTAAAAAAATGTGGCTACAGCAGTGGCGTACCGTGGTTGCACTGATGAGGCATGCAGAACACCCACAGATATCAGTTATCAAATCAAATATCAAGTAGGATATGGCCTAAATTGGCCTTTCTCTAAATAAGGGTTGTCAAGCTTTTATAAACACCTAATTTCTTAAATTATATCAGTAGCATCTGACAAAGTATCTATTATAAATCATTAAATAATGGGTGCAAAAATACTTACGGCAAAAGAATATTAATCTTTCAGTGTGATCTACAGTAATTTAGAAATAAAGTAGTTAAAAAAGTGACAAGGCATCATGTACAATGCTGGCCCTCTGTAATGTTGCCAATGATCTTACTGCTGAACATTTAAATAATTTGAAAATATTTTTATTTATATGATCCGATTATTATTTCAAGTAAAACAGAAAACTGAATAATTTTCCCAAGTGAAAAACTATAATTGAAAGCGGACTCTAGGGTTATTTAGAAATATTAAAAATAATAATGTGGACCAGTTTTGTCCAGCTGACGGAGAGCCGCCGCCGGTCTACATAGCCTCTCGACAAGTGAATGCAGTTTTCGAATTGTATGCATTTGTACCCATTATATTTACAGAAACCTTTTTAAATAGCCACTCTTATGGAACAACAACTCTTAGACAATATAATATCACCGTATAATATAAGACTTCATGCTTATTAAGGGAAAAAGTATTAAATTTGTCTAAAACAGCTCAAATTCCTTATGCTCCAACACAATAAAGTTCATTTAAGCATGTTATTGATAGGATGGTTATGTCTATATGTATGTCCATTGAGGGCATGCGGCTTATCCTTCTGCATGTATTGAGGGACGCTGAATCACCTCGACTTTCCTGGGTGAAAACTGTGAAGACTCTAAAATTAAATCTGTATTATTGAAGATACCATTTAAAGATATATTTTACTTTCTACTAGGCATGCAATGCATACCTTGTATTCATTAAGAATATGCCAGTGGGCTACAGAATTTTTTATTTACAGTTAATAGACATAAACTTGGAAAGAACAAGCTACCAGGAACATGGTTATAGCATAGTTAATCACTTGTAGCAATAAGTGAAGAACAAAACATTTCCTGTAAGTCATTGCTTCCAACCAAGGGCTGCTTTTAATTAGTTTTCTTTCTACAGGTGCATGAACATCACAGATTCATCACTGGTGCGCATTCCACCATGGGATTTGGAGCATCTGTTTTTGGCAGGTTCAACCTCCCCCAAGAGTTACTCAGATCGGCTTGAGTTGGTGGTACGCAAGTGGCAACACTCTTTGGTAGAACTAGATCTGTCCTGGACTGCAAATGCTGATAGTATTGATGCTGCTCTTATGGCTATATCAGAAGAAGCAGACAATAAACTCAGGTTAGTGAACAATAACTTGAATCTAGATTTTGTCAGAACTGTTTGGCAGGGTTATATTTTGGTTTATATCTTCAAACTCTCTCTTCATTCCCTGTCATTCAATCATTTATACTACTGTAATGGATGTGCTGTGGTGCTCCCCTTCCACAACAAGACCCCAAATATCTATTTGGTTTACCTTTCTTGCTTTATAGAAGCAAGTATCTTCCAACAACTATATATCCTTCCCAAAACAATTTAATCCATGCTCTCTGTTTATGTATTCATTGCTGTTCCCTGGATATCCATCTCTTATAACTTCTAATGCATCTATTACATTGTCCATCCATCTCATTTTGGGTTTTCCCTCTTTTTCTCTCTCTTAAGCCATTGTCCTCTGAATTACACACTTTTTTTCAATCTTTCGCTTTCTTCTTTCTCAGTACAGTACAGTACTGTATGTCTATACAGTAAAGTAATTGTCAACTAAAAATCTACTTTACAAAATAATCTATTGTATGAAAATTTTGTGCATTCAAGATTCCTGTTCTGTGGTTGCCGATGCAATCCTTCTAAATTCCTGGTGCTTTATTTACTGGGTTTGAATCCTTCAGTCACAGGAGTTGTAGTTCCTGCCTGACATGCCCTATACTCTTTATTTACAGAAGCCCCTTGGTCCCAAGGTTTTTGGTTAGCAGATACTTTGCTGTACCACTTAAGCAAACCCTGATCTTCTGTCTGCATAACCAAATTTTTCATTTTATGTTTCTTCATTATTCAGTAATTGTATTTTTTATTCTCTACATCCTTTTCAACCATACACATTGCTCACAAGCAGTTATTATGTCAGGTCATATGTGCCCCATGCAGAGTCTATGATAATAATATCAGTTTACCACATTAGGTTTAGGCTTCTTTCCATAAGCAGCATACTCAGGCCTCAATAATTCTATATCTTATGCATTTTGAGAAATGTATTCAAAATAAATACAGTAGATAGCCAAAGCCTTCTTTTATGGAACCAGAATATGACAAAATGTTCCAGTGAGCCATCATATGACTTTGAGTGAGGACCTTAATATTTTCATTTTGCTTGCACTGTATACATTGACAGGTACCTGAACATGTGTGGGTCCTCAGTGACATTCAAACCTATTCGACAAGTATTAGCGAGGTGCAGTCATCTAGAGAACCTCAACCTCACCTCCTGCCGGGCCCTGCCTCGGGGAGTAAAACGATTCCATGAGGCACCTCAACTGGTCACTCTTCGAACAGACATTGCAAATGGCAAATTTGATGAGACCCCAGACGATGATGATGATGATTAGGCCATATTAGGTCCTGCCATAAGAGGTTAGTTCTACAATTTCAGATTGTTTATTTTAATCACTGATATTGTTCCATATTGCTTTGCAGGTACAGGGTATTAGTCTTTAAGTTTCAGACTTGTGGAAGTACTGCTGTGGGCGAAGCAAATGAGTGGTCAGAAAGGACAACCTCCCTGCAGCCCCCTTGGTCTCATTAATGGTTTACTTAGGCAACACACCATTTCTCTTTGATTTGACCAACATCACCCTTCTCAGTATCTTACCTCCTTATTCTTAAGAATTCTAATGCATTTTTACTCAGTTAACCATATTAGTGGTACTGTACTAACCCTGTTTCTCAAGTAGGTATCACAGCTAATCTGTCCAGACAAATTCTTTTTAATATTGATTATAAAGTTGCTGTATAGGTAGTGTATCAGTAATTATCTTTCAAGCTTGGGACCAGAATGTGAGTGGTCAGAAATGATGTTAAATGTAAGGATTTTCCCCAAATGAAGCCATAATGCATCCATTTTTAAATAATTGTTAATTAAAAGTCAAATCAGCTTCACTGTAAAACTTCAGTACTATACCTGCTCCTTTTTGGCCTTCAAATCACAGATAGTGGTTATTTGAATTATCTATTCTTGCACAAGTATGTTTGCATTCTCACCTGCATCCAGTGGCCACAATGTTTCTACTTTCATGTTTTTTGTCAGTGTAACTTTTCTTTTGAGTAGACAATCCTGGAGATAATAAGGCATTTATTGATCATTTTTAGCCAGTAAAAGTGGGGCAATGCAATGGAACACTAATATTGTACAGTACTAAGCTAGTTTAACCACAACAGACTATTGTATCAGATTGAAATATTTTTATGGCTTGAGTTTGAAGATATAGGTATGGATAATTGAGCCACTATCTGACTTTGCGGTGGGAAAATCTCTTTTCTTGACAGATTCATGTATGAGGAAGTTTGTGTATCACAAAATGGTAGGAATTGATATATAAATTTTAAAAGGGAAAATTTCAGAGAATTTTTATTGTTCATTTTACAATTTTTTTTCTTGCTTTCAGAGCCAAATTCGAACCGACCAGCTCATGTGCCCAGTACAAAGCAAATATATTTTGCCCCCAACAAGTGACTGTGAGGAAACTCCTGTGTACAAGGAAAATCCTACATGTCTGGTGAATGTAATTTGGCCTCACAAATTGGATTATGCAGTTGGGGTCATTTCAATATTTTCATGAAGTTAGCCTCAAAATATGGTAACGTATATTGTTTTTGTAAATGTTTACAGACTGTTAAGGGTGGGTGGGAGGTGTTATATTTAGAATGTGCATAAGCTCCCAGGATGTAGGCCCCTATTCTGCAGATTGCCTCAGGGTAAGCACTACTCTTCTGATGTCCTCAAAACATACTAGGTTGTCTGTGTCCCATATAATTTATCCCTGTTGAGTACTGACACTTGCTGTTGTTCTTGAAGAAGTTTCAGGTACTCTACAGGCGATAAACAAAGTTAAATTGTACCAATGTTTTGTGTGTATTGTTGTGACATCGTGAGTGCAGTGTTTCCTCTGAATGCATTTTCTAAATTGGCTTGTAGTTACTCTTGTTAAGTCTGTGTTCATTGTCCTACCACCAGGTCCTCCAGAGGTAATATTATTCCAAGATTAATATTATCCTGCCAGTGTTAATTTTATTTTGCCAGTGTTTTTATATTCCCAACAGGAGTCACTATTGTCTTGGAAATATCTTATTTTTCTGCCGTCTGCATTGTCCTGCTAGAACTAATGTTATTTCCGTGGAGTCCTTATTATTCCAGTGGAATAATTTAAATTAATATCATTATAAAGATAATAAGAAAGTCCCATTGTGTCAGTATGATCTTCCTGGGTTGAATATTGCCAAAAGTAATACTACTAGGTCAATGCTGATGATATTTAGCAAATATGAATATTAGCCTGATGGTTTCCAGGGAACCATCTGGTGTTGATAGTGTCCTGCCTTGAATTTTTGTGGGTTATTTCGTTTTTGTAAGACTATTGTCATTGACTTGATGGTAGTTAGGAAACAAAGTAGTGCCTCTTGAAGGCTCAATCATTGTAATTATGATGAATGATAATTACCCATGGTCAAACAGGTTCTTATCCATTCCATATATAGCAATATGTAATGGTATCTAGCATGGCAGGAACTGTGGTGATCATAATTATAGTGTTTGAAGCCAGAAATAGTGTGGATTTTGTTTCTTGACTTTACACAAGTTAAAAGTTTGTAAAGTTTATCCATTTTCTTTTTTACATAGTAATGTCCAGTGCCGTTCCAGAGCAGATGTATAATTTTTAAACTGACAGATTTTTCTATCTGAAAAAGCATATCCAATTTTTCATTCTTGAAAGACATGATGAAGGCCTGTAATGTACATTTAAGAGTGATAAATTTCTGTTATGTTGCAATGTTTGATATACAGTATATTGTACAGATTATTGAAATTACATTTTCAAAATGACATGGAACATGACTGAGAAAATATATATGTGCAGCTTAATGAGTCATACCATAAGCTGATCTTGAGCATCTCCATTTATATAGTGAATTACAGGCATCCATTCTGATGTCTTCTTCAGCTGTAGACTAATGCAGAGTTATAAAACCATTAGGTAATCTTCGAGATATTTTGTATGTGTGCATTTTTCTTTCTCCAAAAATAGTGAAGCAGTTATCTTTGTTATTACCAATTTTTGGAACTGGAACTAATAAATTTAAAGAATTTTGGAGTAAATATTATTTTGATTAAAGAATTAAATTTTTTAGTTGAATTTGATTTTTATAATGTTAATGTTTTATGTATACTGTAATACCTTTCTCTAACATTTTAAATGACATTGCAAGGATTATGGTAATTAGCAAAGATTATGATGATTCATACCAATTTGAAAATATTTCATCTTTTGGGGAATTGAAAAGTCTTTTGAAGTCACTTGGTCATTGGATTTTTCATTTTATTATGTTCCCATGACCACTATATCTTCTTGGGATTTAGAAATATTAATATGGGATGTGATGTCAGTTAAACTTCTAAGATGAATTCATACTTTGCACAATACCATCTTTACGTCCTTTTTTTAAGGACATACGTAAAATGTTGTGCCTTTCCTGTGTCCATGACGAGCACATATTTTTAAGAGTCCAAATTCTTTGGTAACCCTTGTGTGCATTTAGAAATTAACTGTCAGGTCTTGGTAGCACAAATTGTCTTCCAGTTCCATCAGATGAAGTTTTGAATCGAGTAACTCTAAACTTCTATAAGTGGCAACATAAGAATTTGGACCATGAATTTCATAAAGTAATGGTTGCATAATTTTTTTCACCTGAGACCTGTATCAGATACTTTTAACAAATAGATTGGTAAATCTTACACAATTGAAGTTCCATTTAATATTTGTGAAGTTTTGTGTGTACAAGTGTTATGAATTCATCTTTTCTAGCATTTTTTCTCACATGGGATAGGCCTGTTAAGTGGGACTGGAATCTAGAACCATAGGATTTTATTTAAACATTTTCAGAACCTTACATAAACTGTGCTTGGAATATCTGTTCATATGACGTGCAAAACACTTTAATAAGAATTTTATCAATTTTATTTTATTTATTTATTTTTTAACTGTTTTAGTGTTAATACAGTATTTAGTTGAATTTTGAAAATTCATGAAGATGGTTTGTTATATGAGAGTACAGTATCATAGGAAAAAAAAGGTGGGAATACATACCAAAACAGACTTACATACCAGCAATGACAGATTTAGAAGCTCAGAATGGTGTACATCCTGCAGATTCTGAGGATACAGTAGAAACATATTTATACACTAGTTTATTGTTTGTGGAAATATGCCTATTAAAGAGGGATATGTAAACTGCATAAAGCATTAAAACAACAGGTGAGGGAGGGCAAAGGTGTGTTGGTACAGTAACCCTGTGAGTTTATCCTCAGAGTCCTCATGGTGTCCATTTTTAAGATCTGGAAGAGTTACAGTCATTCATATATAAGAGCTGGATCGGTGTTAGGTTTATTATAGCATGTGTATTATCCTCACATTTGTAAAGGTATTTGTTTTAAAATATTTTACTCTTGCAAGATAGTCAAATTGTTTTTGTTCTTTTTTATGGGGGTCTGTAGTTGAAAGTAAAATTACACAATATGTATTAATCATATTGATTTTGAAATGTATACTGTAATTGCAAAATTATAGATGAATTTTTCAACACACATTTTAACCTCACCAACTACATCCATTTTCTCTATTTGGAGAGATGTGTTGGCAGAACAACCATGGTACATACTGCTTTGCTGAATTTATTATTTCCTAAATCATTGTACTGTATGTGAAGAGTATCATCCAAAGGAAGATTTGATTGATTTTTAGGGCACCTCAAATACTTTAATATTGATAACATTATCATTAGAGAATATAGTAATGGTAATGAAAAAGAAATAAAAGAAATTTAACTGTGAGGAAAACATTCTTGCAAGTACAGAGACTTTCTTTCATAACTAAATGACATGCATAAACCAACCCAACTTCTTATTGTAACTGGGTTGTAATACAGTAATCCCTCACCAACCTTTGGCGTTATGTTCTAGAGTTCCTCTGTGGTGGGTAAGGGCTGTGTCTAATAGGAAATAAGGGGGAAGTGACCCCCAGAGCGACATACTGTACATAAATCCTATGATGTACAATCCTCAAAAAAAGTATCGTTACTTTCCCATCTTTACAATTTGAAACGCTGGACAAAATTCTTTGATTTAATTTCCAGTGTTTCATTATATGTTGATATGTCTGATTGACAGTATTCTTATATACTGTACTCAGCATATGTATTTATAAAAATTTTGCAGGAATAAAACTTAATTTACTGGTGATTTTGAAATTCTAGCAGTTCTCTGCATGGAAATGTCACCAGAAAATTTTATACATATGCTGTAGAAGATAAAGTTATTGTATACCAGTAGGTGTGGTCGACTCCACCAACTGTTCCTAATCTAGTGGACTAGCACTGCTCACAAAACCACAAACCACATTGACCCTATGGGTAATGATACTTTTGGGAGACTGTACAGAGCAAGGTTTAAATTATGTACAGGTTGTATGCTATACTGTACTTAGAAAATGCACTACAGTATTTTACAGTTTAAAAATGCCATTCCATACACTGTGCAACTATTGACCCAAAAAATTATATAAAGAAATATAATGAAAAAGTTCCCCATGGCCTGATACCGATGCTCTCCCTAGAAACGCTGCTCCCCATAGCACTGTAAATATCTACATTAAAATTTCATACATTATAAGGTTTTCATATGCAAATGTATATATGAACAATATATATACAACTTATTTTATTTTTGACTAGATCATATGCGTAGGGCAGAGAATATACAAAAACGAGCTAAACCTACAAAGTACAGCTCACAGTCAAAATAAGGAAAGATTGTTTGCTATACTTCAGAAAAATATTTATTATACAGTACTGTATGAAGATAATGTCCACTACACTGTACACTGAGCAGGAATTAAAAAACATAAAAAACACTGTAATGGAGCAGTTTCCCCTACAAAGTTTTCATACATAAATGTGTATGTCAACAATATATTTCCCAAAGATTTTGTTAACACGAGATAATACATGTAAGGGTAGAGAACATGCATGTAAGAGCTGGTCATGTTCAGAGTAGATACGAATCTACTTTGTATGCCTGGTAGCCAGCTGCATTGTTTGGTTATCATATAGCATGCACACTCATGGATGTAGCACCTATCTTTTTGTTCATTTCTCCCATTTATTAGACTTATTTATTTTCATATTTTTGTGTATTCTTATATTTTAATGAATTTTTTATGGCATAAAAAATATAAAGTCTTTAAAACATAGAAAATATAACACATCTCACTTTTTAAATAATTTGTCATCCTGCCCCCTCCTAAAAAAAATAAATAATCAGTACAGTTGGTCCTCACATTAAGCGGTCCCGCATTCCGCGTTTCACCGTTAACGCGGTGCCTTGCCAGAACCTAACATTCTTACATTCCGCGGTCGTGAACCCCATTACGCGGAGAGCGGCTGGCAAGCTGCGCCATTTTTGGATCCAAACCTCCCGCCATCTGCCATGTTGTGTAAGAGGCGCGAAAATGGTGCGCACAAGGTCGCCCAGTCATCAAAACATTACCGAGTTCTTTACCCGCCACCCACCACAACTGGCCCAAGTCAGTGATAGTGATAATTATAGTGAGGATATGGACTTATATGGACTTTGAGGGGTTTAACAAAGAGGCCCTGCAAGCCTCTGTGGTGGATAGTGATACAATTGATACCAGTGATACAGGTGAGGGCCAATAATCTGCCCTCTGCCTCGGAACCAACCCCCCATCCCCGTGTGCCCAGCCATCTTTTCTACTAATGTAAGTGTTAAAAAACCTAATATTATTGATATTTCTCTTAATTATTAATTGTGTGTGCATGCCATCATAAAGTTAAGATAATATTTTTACTACAACATAGTTGTGTGTCGTCAAAAAGTGGAGTTTGGGGATCGGCCTGGACTCCATTTCAATTAATCCCATATGTTATGTTGTTCACTTTACGCGTTCCTCACTTTCCGCGGGACCCTCCGGGTTACATTAACCGCGTAATGTGAGGACCAACTGTACAATATAACACATTCTAGAGAAATTAATTTCCTTCAGTTTGGCAGGAAAAAGAATGTTGTTTACATATTAATGAGAACATATTTTATCAATGAAGGTATACGGGTAAACAGTTTTGAACAATAGTGAATCAGTGAGTTGGACGGCTACACCTGGACCATGAGGGGTGTGGCTGCATACCAGCTCTACGACCTTGAGTGTTGTGTGATGACTACTTTCAACACAGTAGGAAACCTTATACTGTTGTGTACAATATGAAGGATAAATTTTAGTTAATTGATTTAGAGAGCCTAGAAGGGAGATCTTGGCTTGGTAGGTGGTCAAATTTTTTTTTGAGATATATACACAAAGTGAACAAGACAAACTACACTCCTGTACTTGATTGACCTGATCCAGCGAGTATTCCTACCGGTCTAGCCTAGAAATCTCCTGGAAACCTCGGTGCTCAAAATATAAAATGTGGATTCTCAAAACCATGGTTGGTGAGGGATTACTGTGCTGTATTAGAGTTCTGTGCATTGATAATAAATAGGCATAAACTTCTGAACATAACCTGTGTTTGGATTTAATATGGCAACAAGATTTGAGTTATTTTTCAGTATTTTAGTAACAGTATTGTAGAAAATGAATTATTTCAAGTATTTTATTGTATGGATATGTATTGATTCCATATTGTCTGTGTGGTAGATCCAGTTCCTCCCAGACTTGCCCAAGGTGCCTCACAAACTGGGAAATTCAGTACATGTTTTGCAGTTAATTATAGATATGCGTACAGTACAGTACAGTACATGTCAATCCAAAACTGGCATTAATATTCATCATAGATATTGTACAGTATCTGTATTGACTGCACCTTGGCTTACTCTCATATCCCTTACTCATTCTTGCCAATGTTTTATGATGTGCACTGTTAACTGGTGACATACCCAGAATATATCATTGAGAGGATCGTAAATGGTGTGACCATTGTAGTAGTTAGTGTGAGCTTTGTATTTGTTTTGATAATTCCATGTGAATATTCTATCCTGGTAATGTTTTGTGGTCAGTATTCTGATTGCTCATTAGCTCT